CATACCTCTTTCCTATTTCCCTAGTTAAGACACAGGAAATTATAACAGTGGAGCTACAGGATGGAAAAGCCTGGATGCCTGAATCACCATGTGAAGGAAGGCTACCCACTGACTAGGATCACCCATTTGGACTATTATGTGAGTGAAAAAATAAATTTCTATTATATCTGAGTCATTATAGTTTGGGGTTTATTTGTTACCACAGACAACTACCCTAATTAACACTTTCATGTGAAGAAAAAATAAGCTTTTCTCTGGAGTAAACCACTGTTCTTTTCAGTGTCTGTCATGAAACTTAACTTACATCCTTATCTATATACATACCTTAAGAATTTAATCTTTACCTAAATATTTATTCCTTAGTCATTAAGGCCTTTCCTTTGAGCATAGTTCTTCTGATTGAAGTTCTGGGTGTTCTCTCTTCTATAAACTGTACCTGTAGTACTTTATATTGGATTTTCAGTTTCATTTTGTTCAAAGTGGAAACAAGATAAAGACTCTTGTAAACCAAATTTAATGCAGAATCCTACTAGATTTGGAGCTTTTAAAAAATTCTCTAGTCTTTTGTAAACACCTTGCCTACACCTAATTCAATGGCTATTTTTTCTTTAGTACTCATCTTTATATGGAATTTCAAAGCACTCATCCTGGTTTTCAGAGAAAAACAATTGTTTTTCTTTGCAGACTCAAATTTCATCAATCCATAATTTAATGAAATTGCATAATTATGAGAAGTACAATGAAAATAAACAGTTTGAGAGCAAACACAATGGACATTCCACTCGACTAGTGGAAGCAGATATGCAGGGGTGAGCCAAAGTGAAGGCTGTGAGTCTTCAGTATTTTAGAGGGATCAGTTGACATTTAAGAAAGGGAATTGAGAACATTAGTTAAGTGGAAGGTGGTTAGGAAGAGTTTCTACTATGTGCACATATGGACACTTTTATGGGAACAGTCCATAGCTTTCATCTAATTTTCCAAGGGATCTATGACCCCTAAAATATTAAGTACCACACTATAAATTAAAATCTAATTCATCAGCCAGGCTGAAGAATAAGTTACCTTTTCTTCCTGTGATCTGCATTTGGACATTTGTGCATCTACCTTTTGCTTGACGACTCCATTCTCCCTGAAAAATAAATTCATGCAAACAGACTCTTGTGAGCTAGTAGGCCCACCAGCTGATCAAAACACTCAGATTCTAAACAGTCTAGTACTTGGTGTTATTAGTACAATACAATGTTATGTAATGAACATGGGTCTATAAATTATTGATACATTAAATGGCAACATTTCATTAAGGAGGCAATTCTGCTCTTTTCATATCAGGTAGAAAGTGTCTGCACTTCCTAACTTCAGAAGGTACAGTCTTCTTAATAATGACGAAGGCCTTTAAACAGTTTAGTGCTTAGTGTTCTTAGTACAGTATTATGCTATGTAATGAACACAGGTTAATAAGTTATTGATGTATTAAATGGCAACATTTCATTAAAAAAAATTCAGACTCTAAATCTCAGTTTAGTGCTTAGTGTTCTTAGTACAGTATTATGCTATGTAATGAACACAGGTTAATAAGTTATTGATGTATTAAATGGCAACATTTCATTAAAAAAAATTCAGACTCTAAATCTCAGTTTAGTGCTTAGTGTTCTTAGTACAGTATTATGCTATGTAATGAACACAGGTTAATAAGTTATTGATGTATTAAATG